GCAAATAATTCTATAAATTAATATTGGCTCTACCTGAGGGTGAATTAAGAGAAAAAGTTTTGAGTGGTGAGTGTTGAGAGGGAGGGCCAAGAGAAGGAGGGGATTGTGGGACTTAAAGGAGGGAAACCAAAGACAAATTTCCTGCATTTACGATTTTGCTGACAGTCAGCGCCTTTCGAAAAATTTCACTAAAATATAGGGTTTTCTTCATTTTCCAACAGATCCAGACAGACCACAATGAACAAGCCAGACCCAGGCTATCTGTCTGTATAAAAACTGAAAGATGATCTGTTCATTCCAGCCATTAATGATCCCTGGGTCTGGCCCCCACAATCAGTATCTGCATGGAAGATGACTAGCTGGCAGCTCTGTGGTCTGGGCTGCCCACCTCATTGTAATCAGATCTCTGAGACAGAAGATGAGGATGATTTAGTAGAGGCCACCACCTCCTCTTCCCTACGCTTGTGGTGTCCAGTATGGTGTGTTCTGTGGATACCTCTCTACCTCCCTGTCTGCCTTCCCCTTCTCCTTTACAGCTCAGCACAAGCTACTCCCTCCTTCTCCAAGTTCCAATGGGGCACTTAATGCCAAGGTCCTTCTGACTTCTGTACAGGGACCGTACATCTGGAATTATTCTTGGTTTCAAACATTCTTGTCCCACTGTAAGACCCTGTGTCCCCATTTTTTTTGGACTAAAAATATGATCATTCTCCTTATTTTATAAAAATAACATAGTAATAATCTTATACTACTATTGTGTTAGATGTCTTATTTACTTTAACCCATTTAAAAAACAAATGAACAAACCCTTTGTCATCTAGCCAATTCTGACTCATAGCAACCCTGTAAGACAGAGTAGAACTGCTCCGTAGGATTTCCAAGGAGCAGCTGGTAGATACGAACTGCCCAGCTTTTTGGTTAGCAGCCGAGCTCTTAACCACTGTGCCACCAGAGCCCTTTAACTCATTTAGGCCTCACAAAACCCTATTTATTTATATAGGTATTATTATCTCCATTTTTCAGAGAAAGAAACTGAAGTTCAGAGAAGTTAAGTGATTTGCCTAAGGATGCTAAGCTAGTCTGGATCTGATTCAGACTCAAGACTCTGTTATAACTCAGACTCAGTTATAACTCATTTCAAAGTTTGCCCCATTCTATTATCTTATTAAAGCTTAATAATCATGTAATAAAATAATAACTACCATTTACTAAGCACCTACTATGTGCCAGGTATTGTTGCTGAGGTTTTTATATGAATTATTCTCATTTAATTCTCATAACACGATGAGATTGGTACTATTATTATCCCCATTTTCTATACGAGGACAAGGAAGCCCAGAAAAGTTAAGTAATTTGCCCAAGGTTGACATGCTAGTAGCAATGGGCCTGTGATTTGAATCTGGGTCTTTCTGACTCTAGTACCTATACTTTTAGCCACAGGTTGGGATCCCTAAAAGCCATCCTATAGACAGATTTTCTCTCTGTTTGTCAGATAAGAAATTAAAGTTCAGAGGGGTTAAGTAACTTGCCTAAGGTTGCACAGCAAGTAAGTGGCAGACAGAGGGTGATGGTGGAGCAGGAGCAGGAAAGACTGACTTTCCTGGCTTTGCAGTACGTATATCTCAGCATGGTCCCTGCTACATGAGAAACTCTCTCCCATTTCTGTGCAGGTTCTGCCTACCAGGATCTGTAAGTACAAGGTAAAGCTCGCAGTCATAGGTTGCCAAATGGCTAGAGGGAAAATGATCCTCTCTAGACCCAAATATAAAGTCCAATAGAGGGGGAAAAAACCCTACCTAATTCTTAATTAAACAGATATTAAGATGGATTTCCCCTCTTCGTCATGTTGCTCAGTACAGAGCAGAAAAAAACAACAAATCATAAAGGACATGGTTCCAGCACCATTATAATTTGCAAACCAAGCAAGATTTTTGCCCAAGGAAATAATGCTTGTTTCTCTGCCAGCAAAGTAAAGAAAGCTATAAATTCATTTATATTATAAGTGTATTGAGATTTGAAACAGATACCAAAATAAAAGTCACTTTTCCTAAAGTGAGACTGTTAGATTTTTAAAATCAAATATAATCTCACAGGTCATGTCTGCATGTACAAAATAAATGGCAAAATGAAGGCAACTGTCTGAATAATTCAATTTAAATTATTCAGGAAACTCTTTCACTTCTTTCTTTTTATTCAAATAGATAATTGGGAAGTGCAGAAGCAAAGTGGGTAATGAAAGTAGTGTAAATTTCTAAGTAAACAGGGCTCGGCTCAAATCCTGGCTCTGCCACTTATGAGCTTGGTGAGTTGGTCCCTCAACCACACTCATCTTTAAAATGTACTGCAAGGGATTGTTGTGAAAATTTAACTTAATTATGTATGTGAAGTGGGCTTTTAGGTGGGCCAGCACAGAAGGTGCTCAATAGGACCTATTACTGCTGTTATTAAGAAGCCCTGGGTGGCAAAACAGTTAAGTGTTGGGCTGCCAAATGAAAGGCTGGCAGTTCGAACCTACTCAGTGGCTCCGATGGAGAAAGATGTGGCAGTCTGCTTATGTAAAGACTAAAGCCAAGAAAGACCTACCGGGCAGTTTTTTTCTGTCACATGGGGTCGCTGTGAGTCGAAATAAACTCTACGGCATCCAACAACAGCTGTTATTACAGTAAATAGCTGATATTAGCTCTAGAGGCATATTTAATCATGTATAGTTAAGTTAGTTCAACGTCCAGCAATTCCAGTTCTGAGTGCTCAGTGCCAGCGGCTCCCCAAACCTTTGCCTTTCCAAATATCTCTAGCTCAGCACTATTGATATTTGGGGCTGGTTAATTCTTTGTTGGGGGTGGGGGCACTGCAGAGAGGAGGGGGGAAATTGTTCTGAGTATTGTAGGATGTTTAGTAGCAACCCTGGCTTCTATCCACTAGATGACAGTAGCAACCTCTGAGTCATGACTATAAGGAAAGTCTCCAGACATTGCCAAATGTCCCCTTGGAGGCAAAATCACCCTACCACCACACCTCTGCAAAGCCTTTCTGTTATCTGCAGCCTGAACTGCACTCTTCCTTTTTGAAGGTTTTTTAGATAGAAATTTGCATGAAACAAGATTGTCTTCTATTCTCTAATCGTATCACAATATGAAATATTATCATCCAAATAAAATAAAAGTTTGTTGATGGCAGGAACTTGTCATTCTATTGTTTCCTCCAAAATGTCTTGCATAGAACAGACAAATAAGAACTCAGTAAACATGTACCCGTTTATTCAGTTTTTTTCTTTTCATTCATTCACTCACTCAGCAAGTACTTGTTAGGTGCCTATTGTATGCCAGGCACTTTACTAGGAGCTGGACAAACAGAAGAAAAGACAGTCCCTACCCTTGAGGAGTTCAGAGTCTAGTGAAGGAGACAGATTAGTAACGATTTGCTAAGATAAAGGGAGCAAAGAAGAGGGGTCCTTAACTCAGACTAGGAGAGACAAAGAAGGCTTTCTTGAGGGACAACTCTTGAGCTGAGTTTAAAAGCATGAGTATGAGTCAGATTGGGGGCACTGATTGCCGATAACCAGCATTTTGTTAGATGCCTTTGTAGTATAAGTTTATTGAATATGCATCTTATAAGCAGAAAATGTTTTTTTTTTGTTTTTTTTTTTTTTAAATCTCCTGGACCCAGAATGGTAATTGGAAGGGGAGTATTTTGTAAAACTGGAGCAATGAGTGTGTATGCACAAGATGTATTCACTCATGATACTATAGTAAGGAGTCTACTAGCATTTACTGGCCATGCCACCCTTGCCACATAGAAATCCTCCTACATGAAGGGAAAAATCTGTATTGTTTGTGGCTACCAGTTTGATGGCCTGTGTTGGGCTTTGAGGTTGACTTATCTATTATGATTGATCAGTTGGGGGGGTCCTTGGGGCACGATTATAGGATATTTCAACATACCATTTTATTCTTTTTAGGGGGTATGGTGGTACAGTAGTTAAGAGCTATGGCTGCTAACCAAAAGGTCGACAGTTCAAATCCACCACCAGCAGCTCCTTGGAAACCCTATGGGACAGTTCTACTCTGTCCTATAGGGTCGCTATGAATAAGAATCGACTCGACGGCAATGAGTTTTTTTTTTTTAATCTTTAAATAAAACTTACTACTTAATTCATTTTATCAATTATTCACATAAATTGATTTTTCAAGTGAAGATATTTAGTTTCTGTTAAATTAGGAGTATGACAGAGGGAGCAATCTGGCATACACAGTGAGTCCCAAACATTTCATCTCAGAAAGCCTAGAAGTTCATACATGTAGGTTCAAACTTCTAAAGGGTCAATTTCCATTCTAAAGGGTTTACAATACATCCTCCCATGAAGAAAGTAATGATGGCAAACAAAACACTCACTTAGCTTCTCTAGGATCTCCTCATCTGTCATCTTGGATTTTTTCCTTTGTCGATCTGTGTTCCTGTACAAAGTACTGGAATTGGCGTTCTCAGCGGAAGGTGGTGTGACCTCTTTATTTGGTGCTGCTGGTGAAGCAATGGATTCAACTACGGAACGAGTGTAGATCTAAAAGACAGAAAAAAGTTCTACAATTAAGAGAGCAGGCCAGGGACAGAGTATGGAGTCAAGGCTCTGTTATATCAATGTGTTTTTAAAGAAGAGTGGTTTTCTACTAAAAAAAAGAACTCTAAATTGCTTCAAGTACACTGCCCTTGAAAGATCTTGATAGCTCGTCTTTTGGGATCCCCATATATGCTGTGCTAATTCTGGCCTTCGTGCCTCTGCTTCTGCAGTTCTTCCTACCTGGTTCACATGAATTTGCTTCCCTGTCTTGACTTCTGCAGCAGTTTTATAATTTCAAGTTTATTTATATATTGTTTGGTATTATTCTCTAATTGTTTCATGTGCTAATCTCATATCCTCAAACAGAAGCCTCCAAACAAGGGTGGTATCATATACTCTATTTCTGGGAAAATAGTAGATGCTCAATAGTTACTAGTTGATGGGCATTTTTAGAATCAGTAGGAAATAGTCACTTGTGACTTACTGATTTTGTATGTTCTGGTCTCGGTGCAATAACTGGTGGAGGTTCATTGTCATCTTCTTCTTCTTCCTCTTCTTCATCTTCTTCTTCAGACACGGGAGGAGCCAAAGGAGGCTCTGATGCTGTTTTTGTACTCTTATGACAAAAACAAAGTTTAAAGACCGGGTATTAACTCCTCATGGCTTTTCCTCAGACACAAGACAAAGGAAATGATTTATTTAAGCATGTAGGGATAGGAGGGCATTGCATCTTTTGCAAATGAGCAGAACCATCTGCAGTTTAGAGGTCAAGACCTGCCCACATCCAAAGATAAATTCAAGTCAGGGCTTAAAGCAGCATGAAGTTAAAAAAAAAAAAAAGTTCTTTTTATTGTCTACTGAGCTCAAAAATAGTCAGTTATTCACTTAAAATTAATATTTTAAAGTTCAATGTTTTGGAAATAAAAAAATATAATTAAAATATCAAATTCATTGCTGTTAAAACCTTGAATCTATACTGGGAAGATTGTCAATTTTTTGATTAACAGTTTGTCAATTTGCAAAGGGTTACTTTCCGCCTAAGGACCAGAATGTGCATAGAGATACGGTATTTATATAGTTCTACGAATACTCACTGAGTATAAGCAAGCACAAAATGGTTCCTCGCTGCTTAACCCAGTTGCTGGTGGGTCGATTCCAACTCATGGAGACCCTATGTGTGTCAGAGTAAAACTGTGCTCCACAGGGTTTTCAATGACTAACTTTTCAGAAGTAGATCACCAGGACTTTCTTCTGAGACGCCTCTGAGCAGACTCAAACCGCCAACCTTTTGGTTAGCAGCCAAGCGTGTTAACCATTTGCACTACCCAGGGACTCCCTTTCCTGCTTAGCTTTCTGGAAAGAATCACTCAGAGAGTAATAGACATGAGGACCTAAGGCATACTCAATTATACCTAGCCATAAATTAAATGAGTTACTTGTAGTCAAATAATTTCAAAATCAATGTTTTAAAAATTGCTTCAGAACATTTACAGCAAAAATATATTTAAATTGGCGGGGGGGGGGTATGGAGCACTTTACTGTGTTTGATACAATGCATCATGTGGCCTCAACAAGTGAAGATGTGTGAGCCTTTGAGGATCTAACAATGGCCCTGGTGGCAAATGCAATGCCCCAAGGTCTCGGCTTCTTGGCCCATCCCTTAGACTCGTATAACAGCCAACCAGCACCTAATACACAAGGGGTAACACTGCAATGCACATCTCAGTTCATGATATATCACTAGCTAAGATCCACCTGCAAAATTTCAGATTGTTTCTTTTTTTAAAAATTGTGATAAAATATATATTCAAAAAATTGCTGTTTCAACCAGTCTTGACTGTATAGTTCAAAAGACATTCATCACATTCACCATGCTATACAACCATCGCCAATATCCACTTCCCAAAAAAAAAAAGATCATCAGAAAACAAAAAATCCAGTACCTCTTAAGCAATACTCCCTATTCCCCTCTCCCTCTAGTCCCTGGTAACCACTGATAAACTTTTGTTCCTATGTATTTCCTGTACTAGATATTTCATATAAGTTGAATCATACAGTATTTATTCTTTTGAGTTCATGACTGTTCCTGAACACTCATTACTATCCTCACTATTCTAATTTCAAATGGTCAACACTTCCCATTTCCAAGGATGGACTAAGGGGACTATTAGAAAACCTGAAGATTTCTGCCCTCTAAAAGTTTGGGGGGAATGCGAGGGATGATATATGCTTCTGTTTACCTGGAACCAAACACCATCCTGCCATGTTGGTTGGTTAGAAAGAATGTATGGCCTTCAGTGGACGGTATGTTTTAGATTATGGTTGGGCCAGGGAGCATTAACTCACCAGCAATACACTTGGAAACACTTGTCCTTGGTACTGAGAACCAAAATTTAACATAGTTTCCTGCCCCTGTGTAAACAATGCTGGGACCAGGAAGACTTTTTTACCCCTGTGTTAAATAATACTGGGACTGGGCATACTTTCTTTTCTCTGTGTTAAATAATACCAGGACTGAGCATATGTTTCTGTCCCTATATTAAACAATTCTGAAAACAAACAAAAATAACTTGGCTACTTGCTTTAGGAAATACTTGCTCCTGGGAGACTGTGGATCAACTAAAAAGTTTACTTATTAAGACTTACATTTGCTCATCAAGACTTGCTTTAGGATGTTCACCTTGCGGTATTCACCAACCCAAAGCTATTTTATCATAAACATTGCACAATCCTAACCAGTTCCTTGCCTTGCAAGACCTGCTTTAATATCACACAGTCCAAGCCCTGTTGTTGTGTGCCATGGAGTTGACACCTACTCATAGCTACTCTATAAGACAGAGTAGGACTGCCCCGTAGGGTTTCCCAGGTTGCAACCTTTATGGGAAGAGCCGTGGTGGCACAGTGGTTAAAGTGTTCGGTTGCTAACTGAAAGGTCGGTTCAAATACACCAGCTGCTCTGTGAGGGAAAGATGTGGCAGTCTACTTCCTTAAAGATTACAAACTTGGAAACCCTATGGGGCAGTTCTACTCTGTCCTACACAGTGCTATGAGTCAGAATCAACCTGACAGTAGTGAGTAATCTTTATGGGAGCAGATAGCCAGGTCTTTTCTTCCACGGAGTGGCTGGTGGGTTCGAACCTCCCACCTTTCAGTTAGCAGATGAGTGCTTAACCACTGCGTCACCAGGGCTCCTTGTCTAGGCCCTAAAACCCTATAAATATTTTCCCCTGATGCCCCCCCTTATAAGACACTGCTAAGACTCTGTTAAAGCACTGCTCTTTCCTGCTGCTGTAAGTTTAATAAACTTGGCTCTGCTTGACCGACAGGTTTCTCTGGTGGTCTTCTAGGGAGTTGATAGAAAATGTTGCCACAACCCTCTTTCCAGGCTGAGGATTTTTTAATATTTCTAACCTTGTAAAAATACAGATAGATGGTGAGCAAGGAATATTTTTTTTTCTTATCAATATTAGATTGTTTTTGATATTCTTATTATGCCACACACTTGGGCAGGGGAGGTAGTTCTTAAGCTGACTTGGGTCCTGGGTTCCTTTAAGAATCTAAATGATTTGACCTTCCTCCCCAGAAAAAATACAGATAGACATATGCTTTTACATATAACATCAAGGGTTAACGGACCTTATGAAGCCTATCCATGGACTCCAAGTTATGAACCCTGCTCTAGAGACTATACCAGCTAAGGGAACTACCCCTAGGAGACTGTCTTAGTCATCTAGGGCTACTCTAACAGCAACACCACAAGTGGATGGCTTTCACAAAGAGAAGTTTATTTTCTCACAGTCTAGTAGGCTAGAAGTCCAAATTCAGGGCGTTAGCTCCAGGGAAAGGCTTTCTCTCTCTGTCGGCTCTAGAGGAAGGTCCTCGTCATCATCAGTCTTCCCCCAGACTAGGAGCTTCTCTGCGCAGGAACCTCAGGTCCAAAGGATGCGCTCTGCTCCCAGTGCTTCTTTCTTGGTGGTATCAGGTCCCCAACTCTCTGCTTGCTTTTCTTTCCCTTTTATCTCTTGAGAGATAAAAGGTGGTACAGGGTACACCCCAGGGAAACGCCCTTTACTTTGGATCAAGGATATGACCAGGGTAAGGGTGGTGTTAAAATCCCACCCTAATCCTCTTTAACATAAAATTACAATCACAAAATGGAGGACAACCACACATTTCTGGGAATTGTGGCCCAGCCAAATTGATATACACATTTTTGGGGGGACATAATTCAAACCATGACAGAGACCCTCCTTTCTTTGAGCTTAATTTTGAACGGTCAAGGAATTACAAGTGCTGACTTAGGAAACTTCAGATGAGATAACTCAAAGTGCGGTCTTTGGGCCACTTTCGGTACTTGTTAGAAATGCAAATTTCAGGGTTTCATCCCACACCTACTCTGGGAGTGAAGCCCTGGAATATGCATTTTAACAGACCCCACCCCCAGGCAATTCTGATGCATACTGAAGTAAATGATCCACCAATGTAGATGAACAAGAAATATCAGTACAGGACACAATACTGGGGAAGACAGCACAACTTGTACAAGGAAAGGTCATGGAAGCTCCATAGACACATCCAAACTCCCTGAGGGACCAAATTGCTGGGTGGAGGGCTGTGGGGACCCTGGTCTCGGGGAACATCTAGCTCAATTGGCATAACATAGTTTATAAAGAAAATGTTCTACGTTCTACCTTGGCGAGTAGCATCTGGAGTCTTAAAAGCCTGTAAGTGGTCATCTAAGATACTCCACTGGTCTCACAGCTTCAAGAGCAAGGGAAAATGAAGAAAACAAAATATAAGGGAAAGATTGGTCCAAAGGACTAATGGACCACAACTACCACGGCCATACCAGATTGAATCCAGTCTAACTAGATGGTGTCTAGCTACCACCGACTGCTCTGACAGAGATCACAACAGAGGGTCCTGGACAGAGATGGAGAAAAATGTAGAACAAAATTCTAACTCACAAAAAAAGACCAGAGTTACTGGCCTGACAGAAAAGGGAGAAACCCTGAGGGTATGGCCCCTGGCCACCCTTTTAGCTCAGTAATGACATCACTCCTGAGGTTCAGCCTTTAGCCAAAGATTAGACAGCCCCATAAAACAAAATAAGACTAATGGGGCACAACAGTCCAGGGACAAGAACTAAAAGGTAGGAGGGGACAGGAAAGCTGGTAATAGGGAACCCAAGGTTGAAAAGGGACAGTGTTGACATGTCGTGGGGTTGGTTAACCATTGTCATAAAACAATATGTGCACTGTTTAATGAGAAATTATTTGTTTTGTAAACCTTCATCTAAAGAACAATAAAAAAAAATTAAAAGAAATATCAGTACTGCAAATCAAAAGTACAATCTGTCAACTCTACACACAGGCTCTCTAGACACAAATCATGTCATATTCATATTATTGCTGTTACATTCCACTTGGAATACTAGGTCAGGATTCTAAATATATTATTTCATCCTTAACAGTACAATATGAAATTTAAAAATTAGCTTCAAATTGAAGCGTAGGTCCCTGAACAATATTTGGAATTTAATACACGAATATCAAAGAAGCTACCATGTGTGAACAGTAAAGCAGATGTCATATGACTATGGGAGGTATCTCTGAA